GATGAACTAGAAATAGGGATGAACGAGTGTAAGGCATGATAATTATATTGTATTAATTTTATTCTTTATTTCTTTTTTAGTCCAAAACAGGAACGACGCCTACAGCAAGACTAAATTACGAAGGATCACACGACCATAAATTAGTGAAACGATCGAGGAGAATCGCTTCTTAATTTTTTATTTTTTATATAAAATTTTAAAATTTAAGTGAATTATATTTAATTTAATAAATTATAGTTTAATAATAAAGTTTGAAACAAATAAAACAAGTTTATTTAAAAAGTAAAAATATAATTTACTTAATTAATCGTATCATGCAATACAAATTATATATTGCCTAATTACAATTGTTATCAAATTTCAAGATTATATATTAAACTAGAGTATGTGAATGTGGGCGGCTTCGCCGCCCGGTATCATTATTTAAAATTATTGGTTTTATTCACGTGAGTTTAAAAAAGTACTTGTTATTGATTGTATTAATGAATTATTTACTACATAGAATACTGCGTTATGTGTGGCCTTCGGCCACACATAACGCAATCACAATTGACTACTAACACAGTTATAATAATTTTTGTGTAAGTTGTTTAAGTCTTTTTCTAGTACAAGATATATAAAAAAAAAAAATTGAATTTAGAAAAGATTAAATTTTTTCGCTACGATCATTTTTATGGTCTTTGACGATCATTGATTATCAATCCATCTGTCCAGTAAAAAATCCGGCAAAAAAATAAAGAAAAAACGCCAAAACATATTTACAAATCTAGGTAGAGTGTTAATAACATAATGAATACGAAGTCTTTTATCGCCACCATCTTTTTTTTGTTGCTGCCCGAAAGACAAAAGTATAGAATACCGCTGGTATTCTTCATTAACATTTACATTCACATTAACATTAACATTCACATTCGCATTCACTATCATAATTTATACAAAAATGACGGATGAAAATTTCCTTTCCTGAAATTGCAAGGAAATTTTGGCTGTAGATCCCATGTTCGAAGACGTTACAAGTTACAAAAAAGTTATATAATCTAAACTATTTATATTCCAAATCTAGTTATAAACGTACGCAATTATTACACTGCATATCTATATATAGGAACTATATATAGGAAAAATGATTTGGCAAAATTGAGAATGTTTAAACTAAGACCGGAGACAATGTGAGTATTTTATATCGGACACTATCTATACTATATCTCGAAGAATAATATGTTTTAAAGAACATATTGTCGATATAAAAAAACATTGAATAATGACAAAATTAAACGAGAAATGAGCATTGGATACATTTGTAAATACAGTACCAGAATGCATCAGCCATCTATTTCATAGACAAGCTTATTTCGTAGATAACTTATTTCACAGATTATTTCACAGACATTAGAAATATAAGAAATAAACCTGTATTATCGTATATGATATCTTAATACAACTCAAAATTTTTAAAAAATTTTCTACGTACATTTGCATCAAAATTTTATTCTTTTATTACGTTATCGTTATTACTTTAAATTTACTATATATCTATTTTTGTATCGTACAGTACTTGCCTAAACACGGGCCTCATTTTTTTTTTTTTTTTAACCAATAAAATCAAATTTTCTCTAATGTTCCTTGTCACAAAAAATTTGAAACCTACACTTGAAGAAAATTTTTATATAGTATTTACACTTTAACCGTTGGTACGAACATTAAAGTCAACATAATTTTTAAAATATTAATCGTGCAATTAGAGTAATTACGATTAAATATTTAATATAATTTTGCAATAAAAAATGCAATAAAAAAAAACCCCCCCGAATATTTTCGTGTTTGCGAATCGTTTCTCAAAATCTTTTTGACTACTGACTTTTTGTAAGGGTATATTATACGTATACGTAACAACAAATTGTACAACCATGATGAAATTGATGATATAATGTCGTAATTAAAATATCAATTTTTTTTTGACGGATTCTCTTTTTTTTTCACAAGTAAAAAATGGAGTCCTTACTCAAAAATATATTAATTATATTATTGTTATCTTATTGTTTGTTATATAATCTAATTTCTGCAAATACAGAAAAAGAAGTTTTCATTTCTACTACTGAAACTATTCCAGAATCTCTTTTTTATGAAGTTGAAAACTGGTCTATTCAAGAAGGTCTTGTGGTGGGCTTATTTAATTATTATTATTATTTAAGCGTGAATTCCTTTGTTTAAAAAAAAACAAAAAACAAAAATACTCAATATAATTTATAAAGACTTTAAAACCACCATATACAATCCAACGTTATGAACGCGTCATACCTTACAAAAATTCGGAAGAATTCTTAAATGCAGAACTAAATAAAAAAGAAAAATGGTATGTTCTTGACGAATTAGAAGAAGGGAAGATGTATGAGACAAGAGTATCTTATGCTTCAACGGTACGTGTGTTTATTCATTTTATTAGTGTTGGTTAGTTATAAAAAAAAAAAATTCAAATATCAATTTATTATAATTTTGCAGTCGCCTACAAACTTCGTGTTAAATATATTGGATGTTAATGAAGTAATGAAAATCTTGCGAAAAAATAACGTGACAGATGATGAACAGGTAAAATTTTAAATTGAAGAATCTGGGTTTCTCATAAATATTTCTCAAGTTTATATTTATAAATTTATATCAAGATTTCACATCCGAAGTTGGACACCACAAAAAAATTTCTTAGAGTAAGAGCGATTTATGATGGTGTATCTATTTATCATGGTAGAGATTCTAGAGCTGTAATTTACAACGTTGGTAAGACAATTTTCACTCCTTATATATATATATATTTTTTTTGCTTTCCAATAAATGTAATATACTCGTATCTTTTTGACAGTATTGGAGACACTTGTATATGGAGTTCCGCGAGTGGCTTTCAATTTAGTATTTGTTTTGATCATCATTATAGGAGTGGGCATAATAGTTGTGCCAAAAATATATAAAGCTTTACGAAATTTTATAGAAGAGAAAGATAAAAAAGAGTAGACTTATCAATAGATTACCTATTTTATTCTATAATCTTTGAGAGATTAAGAAATGTACATGATATATAATCACAAATTTATTTCGTTTGAAAGCTTATGACAAATAGAAAGTATAACATGGGATTATACGAAATAAATCACCAATTATAAACAATTTTTTTTGCTACAAGCTAAATTATGCATCTGAAAAAGTTTATTAAATGATTCTTCTGACTACTGGTAAATTACCAAACAGCTTTCTTAACCCCTGGAATATCTCCATTTAAAGCTTTCAACCTAAATTGATATCGACACAGTCTTGAATCTCGAAATACACCGCGACCTCGACCCGTTTCCACGCAACGATTTTTGATAGCAGTCGGACGTGCATAACGAGGAAAAGAATTAAGCATAAGTTGCGCATGCTGTCGGATTTTTTGTGGAAATTGTTCGTTACGAGTAATATAGCGATAAGCCTGTCGAATCAATTCAGTAGCTGCAACAGTTTCTCGAGTTTTTATATCACGTCGAACTCTAGCATTTCGAAGGACACGGAAATTCATTTTGTCGTGGAAACAAAAAAAAAACCCCCAAAATACGTATCTCTATACTCCATATTTGTGTGACTTATAATTGTTACACGGCTTGTTAATATTTAATAAAAGTACACGATAAACCTTAAGGATCTACAAGCCATGACGTTAAAAGCAACTCAAATCCCAACTAAAACTGAAGTAAATCTTCAAAGACTTTTAGCTGTTTGCGAAAAACAGGTCTCTGAAGAGAATGGCTTAATACGAGGACCCGAAAAAATGAAATTTATAACGGTATATTTTGTTCCTCTCCACTACTTTTTATATTTGTTATCGTCATTTTCACCTATTTTTTTCGTTACAGAACATAAAGTACCTTCGCAAATTATTAGAACAAATAGAAAAGGAGGCCGATTAGTAAGTTTAAATTATTTGATATTCATGTTTGTTATGTTTAATTAAATTACTTTTTTTGAAGTAATATCGTTTGTTTCTAAAATATATATTCCAAGAAAGTTCAAAGCTACTTAACAAAATCTAGAACAAAAATAACAATCATTAGTAATG